AGTTTATAGATTAATCTAACCTAACCTAAAATAATGAATTTTACCTACTAAACGACGAGTATTAGATGAATAGCTTACTATTTTTGATTTTGTATTGTTGAGAATACTACAAGTATCAGCTGAATGTTATTATAACTATGTAATAATAATATATGTGAAAATGATTTTTAATGAAAGAGCTGACGATATTTTTAAATATCTATTTTGCCTGATTATCAGCGCCCTTTATTGGCAATTGAAGGTTAGGTTTGGTTGGAGTGGTGGCCTTGTGCCAAAACTCAATGTAAACGCAAATAATATCCCATTGTGGTACAGGATTAGCCTTTGTACATACGCCGACGAGAGGTCAGCGTACCAACAACGCGGAAAGGCATGACTTCTTCATTAGGTTGAAAATTAACTTTGGCAATTAATAAAGACTTCAAATTTTTTTTCAAACATTTCTCATGATTTAAAAATCTTTTTTTGCTTGCACAATATTTTTAGAAATTCTTCAAAATATTATGAAATAGTTCAAGTATATTTGCTCACAAAACTTTTAGTATAAATAAAAACGCATAAAGCCATTAAAATTCATAGTTCATTTGTATGGTTAACGCCCTGAGAAAGTGCCCAAAGTAACGACCAAATCATTCTTTTACTTAACCTATCTAACTAATGCAGTGCTCAAATTGCCTGTAGATAGGACGCTCTTGCTGATTATACTGACTTTCTGCTGACTGTTCTGATTTCATGCTGACTATTCTGATTTCCTGCTTGGACAATACTATAATATATATCGGGTACTTATTAAAAATTAATCCTGAGAATAGGTCTATCGTGACTTCTTGCTGGTATACAAAACATGTCGGATGTTTATTAAAAATTTAGACATGGTAAATAAAGTGACCAAGAATTATGATTTTAGAATTTTTAAGCAAATTATCAAAGGAATAAATAATGCTAAACCACAACTATTTACTAAAGCTATTTACTAATATTTTTAATAGATTTGTTTTTAACAATTGTATGCTCATATGGAAATATTCTTTGGTCCATCTTTTTTTATAAAATATTACTGAAACTCTGTACTCTACTATAAAGATCAAAGATAGTCTTCGAAATTCGTTTATATATTAAGCATTGGGTTTTGATTATGTCAGTTATTTATAAATAATAAGCCTTTTTGAAGTTCTTTAATTAAAACCTCATAAATTGAAAAATGATAAGACCGGCGCAATTAAGGTTTGAGAAGCAACTGGTCTTTATTCTTTAAAAACAACATTTTATAAAGTAAATTAAATGATATCAGGGTTGCCAGGCAACTATTTATGATTTGTCTAGACAGAGGTTTTTTCAAACAATAGTGAACTACAACAACAAAAATTCATTTTATATTATTTTAATTAGTTGAATTTTTGGCTGACCATACAGCTGTTTCGAGTATTGCCAAATAAATAATATTTATAAATAAATTATAAATTTATAATTAAAAATTAATTACTTTTAAGATGTAACATTTAAAATTGTAATTTTATTGAATTTTTTTAAAATTGTATATATATTATTCAAATAGCTACAATATTGACTTATAAGTTTAAGAGAAGTTAATTATTTTTATTATTGTCTTTGCTTTATTTTATGTACAACAAAATTTTAGTAATCATTATCCTATATCCAAATATTAGTAAGATTGTAAAATACTGAAGAAGTTTTGCTTATGTTCACATTTTGGCACGTCAAACGTTTTATTTTAAGCCACATAATTTATATATTAAATGGTTTTCATTGTAACTCACACATAAAAAATATATATTTACAATAGTTACTTATTTTTAATTTTAATACATAATTAAAAAATATAATACTATAATGTTTAAATATACCTATTTTGTGCAAAAAATGGTCCATTCTCGTACAAATGAAAAATATTGCTTTAATTGTTTTAAAATATGTTTAGTCAAAACGATAAGTCAAATTATCTCATAAAGTAAATGTGTGACTGCCATTATACAAATTAAAATAATAATTGTTAATGTTGTGCTTAAATTATTATAATTAATCAAAACAATAATAAAATGTGTAATATGAATCTATGTTAAAACATGCATTTATGTGAAAAATTAGTTTTTAATTTTATTTCCTATTAAGTAAAAAAATAATTTTAACTTAAAATTAAAAGTTAAAATTAAAATTAAAAATTCAAAAGTGTAAAGATTATTTTAAATTAAGAAAATATATTCTGAGAAAAATGTGTAAATCAACAAAAATAATTTTTTTAAATTTATTAATACAAGAAATAATAATTAAATTTAATTAAATCAAGCCAATTAATAATAATTCACAGATTTAAAATAAATGTTATATATTTAATGTTAACATTATTAAAAAAATTTTTTAAATGCAAATCAGCTCGAAATACTGAATAAGGTTTCAAAAATTTTACAGTAAAATTAATAAAAATGCAAAGGTTGTTTTCATATTACGAAAATCAGTTATTTGTTATAAATATATTTATTGTATATTATTAAAATGAAAATTTTAATATAAATTTCAAGAGAAATTTAATAAATATATATATATATATATGTATATAATAAATATTATATTACATAAATAATAAATAAGTAATAACACAATATTTCGATGCCTTATGCTCCCTCTAGGGGAGATGAGGATAACAGAAGAACATAATCTTTTATTAATTCTATAATAATATATATTATTTAAATTAATCAAGGATTTAATTATAACTATTAAATTGATTCTTTTAATTTATAATATAATTCAATAAAGAAAAAATTGGAACTGAAAACCTAAACTAACAAAATTAAATGTTATAACTATTAAATTGATTCTTATAATTAATA